TGCGGTGAGGCCAGACGCCTTCCCTGGGCCGCCAGCTCCAAGCAGGGCTCGCTGTGCCGCGGAGGGGGGCTGTCGCAGCAGCAGGGCTCGGTGTGGGGTGGGGATGAGGGGGAATCCACAGGCCCTGGGCGGGGGTGCCCAGGCTCAGAGCCTCAGCACTGTGTGTCTCTGTGTTTTTCAGAAGAGGCCTTATTCTAAGCCCATGTTTCCATGGAACTTTATAATTTCAGAATGTGTTGGATTATTACAGGTTTCAAAACAATTTTAGGATACGTGTGAAATTTTATCAGGGAATTTATTATGGTTTATTCCCTGTTTTTATGTGTCGGTCCAATGTCTCGTTATATATACGTATATGCTTTCAGAAGAATGTATATATAGTATATATATACACAAGTACATAATATATATGTTTTTAAGAAGATGGCCTTGTGCTGTAATTCCCAGATCCAGTTTTATAAACACCTTCTGAAAACGTCTTCACATGGAGCACATCTTCCCATTCTATGCTGAGTTTGTTTTTCTTCCTTGTAAAGTAGAAGCTACCAACAGAGAGACTGATTGACTTCCATCCACTGGTTCACGCCCCAATGGCACAGTGTCCGGGGCTGGGCCAGGCCTAAGCCGGGAGACAGAAGCTTCTTCCAAGTCTCCCATATGAGTGCAGGGCCCAAGCACTTGGGCCGTCCTCCGCTGCTCTCCCCAGGCCATCAGCAGGGAGCTGGATAGGAAGTGGAGCAGCCGGAACATGAACCAGCACCCACGTGGGACGCCCGTGTCACAGGTGGTGGCTTTAACCACTATGCCACAATGCCAAACCCACTTTGCTTCTTATTGAAACCATTGACTTGGGCAAAAGCTTATTTGGAAAGGGATAGCTTTTAAAGAAAGGAGTGGATAAATTCCACTCGCTTTTTAAATTTAAAAATTAGTGACCACAGCAAATGCCACAAGTAAGGCTCAGCCCTGCACCCTGAGCCTGCAGCCAGGTGGGAACAGGGAAGTAGAGAGGGCGCAGAAAGAAGAGGGTGTTGAGGAGAGGGGGCACACCTGGGAGTGGGCTTGCTGGACCACGTGGTGGTTCCACGTCTGCGTTTTTCTTAGACCTTCACGCTGCTTTTCACGCTGGAAATTTCCGGTTGGCCCCCCCACCAGTTCACAGCGGTCCCCTTTCTCCCAGTCGTCACTGACGCTTGTTATCTTTTGCCTTTTTGGTAGTAGCCCTGCCAAAAGGTGTGAGTGACACTGTGATGTTAAAAACCTGTTTGCTGTTTGTACTCCTGTGTCTTACTTCGAGAAATGTCCATCCAGCTCCTCGGCCCATTTTAAAAATCGGACTCTGCCCTGTGGAGTTGCGTGAGTTCCTCATCTGTCTTCGACCTTGGCCTCTCGCCGCACACGTGGTTGGAAATGCCGCCTCTTCTCAGGCTGCCTGTCCACCCTGCTGGCTGTTCCTCGCTGTGCTGAATCTCTCTGTCTGACTCAGGAGTCCCGTTTGTCTGGTTTGCTTTTGCTGCCTGTGCTGGTACCTCGTCCAAAACGTCATCGCCAAGGCTCACGTCAAGAAGTGTTTCACGTGTTTGCTTCTTGTAGGTTTGTGGTTTAAGGTTTAAGTCCTGCGTCCATTTTGAGATGATTTTCGCGCATGCTGTGAGATGAAGGTCCGTCTTGTCTTTCTGCCTGTGAGTGCCCCGTTTTCCCAACACCGTGATTGAGAGAGAGACCGTCCCTTCCTTGTTGCGTGCTCCTGGCATCCTCGGGGGAGGATCGGTGGCTGTCGGCGCACGGCGGTGTCCTTCCAGGCTCCCTGCTCTGTTGAGCTGCTCTGTGTCTGATTTGCGATTAGGTCACTTTGTGAGATGTTTTGAGGTCAGGACGTGCAATGCCTCCAACTTTGTTCCTTTTCTCATGGTTGCCTTGGCTATTCAAGAACTGTTGTTCATGTCTACCTTCGGATGGGTTTTCTGGTTCTCTAAAGCGTCCCATTAAGGGTTTGATGGGGGTTATGTTCACTGTGTAGATTGCTACGTGTGATGTGAGCATTTCAACATGTTAATTCTTTCAACCCATGAACACGGGATGTCTACCTACGTGCGTCTCCCTTCATTTCTCTCACCAGTGTATTGTATTCAGTGTAAAAGTCTTCCGCCTCTTTGGCTAAGCCCACGTCTAAGCTCATTTTCATTATTTCTGTTGCCGTTGTAAACGGGGTTGTGTTCTTACCTTCTCCTTCGGAGAGCTCCTTGCATTCGTGTCCGGCAGGGTTGCTGAACTGTGTCCGACTCGTGAGGCTTTCTGTTGGTGAGTCACCAGGGCTTTCTGCAGAGCTGATCACCCCGGCTGCAGGGGGCTGTTTCACCCGTCTCCCGATTTGAGTGGCTTTGGTCCGTTTTTCTTGTGCAGTGCCTCTGGCGAGGGCTGCCAGTGCTCTGTCGAGTGGAAGTGGGCAGAGTGGGCATCCTTGTCTTGCGTGGATCTTAAAGAAGAGCTTCGAGGATGGTGTCAGCTGTGGGCTTTTCATGTGTGATGTTTTGTTACTTCTATACCTATCTTGCTGAGAGTTTTTATCATAAATGGATATTGAGTATTGTCAGATGCCTTTTAAGTATCATTGAGATAATTATGTGAATTTAAAAAAAGTATTTATTTTTGAAAGAGTTACAGAGGGGGAGGGAGGAGTAGGGGAGAGAGATCTTCCATCTGCTGCTTCACTGCCCAGATGACCGCATCAGCCAGAGCTGGGCCAGGCTGAGGTCTCCCATGTGGGTGGCAGGGACCCAGACACTCGGGGGCCATCCTCCTCTGCCTTCCCCAGGCCATTAGCAGGGAGCTGGATTGGAAGTGGAGCAGCCAGGATGCCAGGACAGGAACTGGTGCCCACCTGGGATGCCGGCATCGCAGGTGGCAGCGTTACCCGCTTCGCCAGAACACCAGCCCTGACTGTGTGGGTTTTGAGGCCCATTCTGTTGGATTTGCACGTGCTGAGTTGCCCTTGCATCCAGCGACGGGTCCCGCTAGGTCATGGTGTGGCGTATTTCTCAGGTGCTGCTGAGTGGTGCTTGCCGGTCCCTTCTGAGGGTTTCCACACATCAGTCCGCCAGAGAGTGCCCTGTTGTGGTTTCTTGGCTGGAGTCATGTCTGGCTGTCATTCAGCTGGTGCAGACCTCATAAGATGACTCTGGGCGGGGGGGTTCCCCCTTCTTCTGGGTCTCGGGAGAGTCGTAGAAGCCCTGGTGTTTCGTGACTTTGCCGTTGAATCCGTGTGGCCCTGGGGTTTTCGAGATGAGGCTTTAGTCACTGGTGGAGCCTCCTCATTGGCGGTGGGTGTTCAGGGTTTCTGCCTCTCCTTGGTTCAGTGTTGGTTGTCGTATGTGTCTAGGGGTTTGCTGTTGTTCAAAAAGTGCCTTCACCCTCTTCACTTAAACTCCGTTTGTATGTTACGGCATCCCTACGAGGAGCTGAAAACAGCGTGTTGTACCCATAGTAGTAGCGTTTGTGCTAAGGCCTTGGATGATTGCGCTCGGCGCACGCGTGATTTCACTGGGAAGGTAAGCACCCTCCCAGCTGCTGTGTTTCTGCTCTGTCTGTGGTGGGGTTTGCAGGATTAGAGGCATCCATGCTCGGCGCTACAGTCGCGCATCAGGGGTCAGCGAGCCCGGTGTTTCCTTGGCATCTCGTTGGCTCACTCAGCCCTGCCCATTGGCTCACTCAGCACTGCCCATTGGCTCACTCGGCCCTGCCCCCCGCCACGCCCTCGTTCCCGGGCGAGGACACTGAGACGCCCCCTAACGGCACCGTTTCCGCTGCAGCCAGGCCATGATGGACCTGCTGGTGGAGCTGTGCCTGCAGAACCACCTGAACCCGTCTCACCACGCCCTGGAGGTCCACGCTTCCGAGACGCAGCAGCCGCTCAGCTTCAAGCCAAACACGCCGGTCGGGACTCTGGACGTGCACACCGTGTTCCTGAAGGAGAAGGTCCCCGAGGACAAGGCCAAGCCTGGCCCACCCAAGGCGCCTGAGGTCAGTGGGTGCCTGCAGGGCCGCGCTGTGTGGCTGCGTGGGCGGCATGGCGGGGCCATGCTGCCCTCGCCTGAGGACCTCAGGGGCGCAGGGGTGCGGGGACGCAGGTACAGGGATGAGTGGGTGCGGGGACGCAGGTACAGGGATGAGTGGGTACGGGGACACAGGTACTGGGATGAGTGGGTGCAGGGACTCAGGTGTGGGGACACAGGTGTGTGGGGACTCAGGTGTGGGGACGCAGAGGTCCAGGGACGTAGGGGTGCGGGGGCTCAGGGGTGCGGGGACGCAGAGTTGCGGGGATGCAGGGGTTAGGGGACACAGGGACGCAGGGGTGCGGGGACACAGGTACAGGGATGAGGGGACGCAGGTACAGGGATGAGGGGGTGCGGGGACTCAGGTGCGGGGACGTAGGGGTGCAGGGACTCAGGTGCCGGGACGCAGAGGTGCTGAGGGTGCTTCCCTCATAGTGGACAGGGCTAGGCGCTGACCTGGCTTTCTTTTGGGAGGCAGAATTGACAGAACTATGAGCGTATATCATTGTGACATTGCTCCTTTGTGTATTAGAAACTTCTTCAAAGATGGACGTGGCCTGTCACTGTGACTTGTCCAGTGTGGTAGTCGCTGGTCACACGTAGCTCCGTGCCCTGGAAACGTAGCTGGTGCGACCCGCAGACCGAGGTTTCGATTCCGACGAGTTAGCCAGCGGCTGCCTGGTGGGACCGTGCGGCTGCAGAGCCCCCTCCCCCGCCCCAGGAGGCAGCCAGGAGCTGTGGGAGATCTGCACATCTTCCTGGAGGGAGGTGGGGGGAGTGGGACTTCTCCTTTCCAAAGGCTGGTGGCAGGGGCTGGCGTTGGGGTGTAGCTGGTAAAGCTGCCGCCTGTGGTGCCGGCATCCCATTTAGGCACCGATTCAAGTCCCGGCTGCTCCACTTCTGAAGCAGCTCTGTGGCCTGGGAAAGCAGCAGAAAATCCTAAATCCTTGGGCTCCTGCACCCACGTGGGAGACCCCAGAGAAGCTCCTGGCTTTGGATCGGCCCAGCTCCAGCCACTGCAGCCATCTGGGGAGTCAACCAGTGGATGGAAGACCAACCTCTCTCTTTCTCTCTGCCTCTGTCTCTCTGTAGCTCTGCCTTTCAAATAAATAATTTTTTTTTTAAGAAAAGCTGGTGGCACTGATGTGCGCTCACTGCCGTCAGACGCCTCTTCACACGCAAAGCTCTCTTGCCAGCCTCTCGTTTCGATTACGGGTGATTCGAGCTGCTGGCTGTGTGCTTGGGACACCCACATCCCATGTCTGAGCACCTGTCCGGAGGAGTCCCAGCTACTCCTCTTCCCATCCAGCTCTTTGCTGATGCACCCGGGAGGCAGCAGGTGATCGCTCAAGTGCGTGAGTCCCTTCTGCTCAGGTGGAGAGCTGGACGGAGGTCCAGCCTCGAGTGGTGCAGCCGTTCTGGAAGTGAACCAGCAGATGGGAAACTGTCTCCTTCCTCTGTCTCTGTCGCTCTGTCTCTGTCGCTTTGCCTTTCAGTCGGTAGATGATAGACCGTGGTGGACTGGCCCTGAGTCCCTCTGCTGACAGTTTCCGGTCCCTGTGGTTAACGCTCTCGTGCACGATGCACAGAGGATTTTCTCCCCTTCAGGGTTTAAGGACGAGGATCTCTGCCTCTGGTGCCGCCCCGTCCTGACCCCCAGGGTGCATGGTTGACTCCACGGGGCGAGGTGTGGTCAGGGAGTAGCAGGTCCCACTGCCTTCCTGCACGCCACCATTGCTGCAGCCACAGGAGCCCAGCACTGGGGTCAGAAGGGAGCGACGGGCGTCCCCGCCTCCCTGTCTGCCGTGTCTTGGCACTGCTGGGGCAGCGGCCAAACCTGAGCTGAAGCCGCCTGAGCGATGGCAACCCAGCAGTGGCTGTAGAATCAGCCTTCATCGCATCACGTTTCTTCTCGACCTCTGAGCCTCGGCTGTTGAAAGTTACCTGCTTCCAGCTTGAAACACGTCTGTGCTCACACTGTATGTGTAGCTACATGGATACACACGTGTGTGAGCACCCATGTGGCTGTCTGGATACTCACACTGTGTGTATGTGTAGCTACGCGGGTACACACATGTGTGAGCACCCATGTGGCTGTCTGGATACTCACACTGTGTGTATGTGTAGCTACGCGGGTACACACGTGTGTGAGCACCCATGTGGCTGTCTGGATACTCACACTGTGTGTATGTGTAGCTACGTGGGTACACACGTGTGTGTGAGCACCCATGTGGCTGTCTGGATACTCACACTGTGTGTATGTGTAGCTACGTGGGTACACACGTGTGTGAGCACCCATGTGGCTGTCTGGATACTCACACTGTATGTATGTGTAGCTACGTGGGTATACACGTGTGTGTGACCATGTGGGTGTCTGGATACTCACACTGTATGTATGTGTAGCTACGTGGGTACACACGTGTGTGTGAGCACCCATGTGGCTGTCTGGATACTCACACTGTGTGTATGTGTAGCTACGTGGGTACACACGTGTGTGTGAGCACCCATGTGGCTGGATACTCACACTGTGTGTGTAGTTACGTGTGTGAGCACCCATGTGGCTGTCTGGATACTCACACTGTGTGTGTAGTTACGTGTGTGAGCACCCATGTGGCTGTCTGGATACTCACACTGTATGTGTAGCTATGCGGGTACACATGTGTGTGTGACCATGTGGCTGTCTGGATACTCACACTGCGTGTACGTGTAGCTATGTGGGTACACACGTGTGTGTGAGCACCCATGTGGCTGTCTGGATACTCACACTGCGTGTATGTGTAGCTACGCGGGTACACACGTGTGTGAGCACCCATGTGGCTGTCTGGATTCTAAGCAGAAGTGTGGCATCTTGTCTGTGAACATGGTTAGATCACGTCACTCCCAAGGCTGCCCAGCCCATTGCTCAGAAAAGGAGGACACCAGCCCGCGGTCTGGCTGGCCGGGACCCTGGAGAGTCGGGATCCCCGAGGCCGCCCTCCTGCCCGTTTTCCTTGTGGTCAGCAGCTGGGTCGTTAGAGAGGCTCGGAGGCGGATTTACTTTCCTGGGCGTTTATCTTCGCTGATCCTTAAGCCGCTTTCCCCCCGCCTCGCTGCACCTGGGAAGAGTGACGCCAGTGGACAAGCACCGCCACCCTCGCAGGAGCTGGGGCTGCTGGGAGGCTGCGCTCACCGAGCCCCTGCGTCTGCTCTGCTCTTCCAGAAATCTGTGCGTCTGGTGGTGAATTACCTGCGGACACAGAAGGCCGTCGTGCGCGTGAGCCCCGAGGTCCCGCTCCAGAACATTCTGCCCATCATCTGTGCAAAGTGTGACGTCAGCCCGGATCACGTGGTTCTGCTCAGGGACAACATCGGCGGTGAGGAGCTGGAGCTGTCCAAGTCCCTGCGTGAGCTGGGCGTGAAGGAGCTGTACGCCTGGGACAACAGAGGAGGTGAGACCCCCATCCCCACACCCTGCCCGGCTGGCCACACAGGGACAGCAGGGGAGGTGAGGCCCCTGTGCCCCATGCCCTGCCCAGCCACATGGACGGGGACAGCAGGGCAGGTGAGGCCCCTGTGCCCCATGCCCTGCCTGGCCCCCAGATCTGAAACACACACACACACACATTACATACACACACACACACACACACACATGCACTACAACTCTTCACAGCTCTGTAGCACAGAGGAGAGGTGGGACCACAGCTGTGTGGAGGCCAGGAGCAGCCAACTGGCTGTGCTCAGCACCCCCACTGCAAGAGCCCTCCTCCACGGTCCCAGGCACACCTCCCCCCTCCCCCATCCTCCTCTGAGCTTTGCTAAGTCGGAGGGAAATGACCAGCGCCCATGCTCGAACATGGCTGCTGACTGCTCACAGCCAGCCCCACACCCGTTTCCTCTCTCCCCACATCTGCCCCGGGGGGCCCAGCAGAAGTGCCTGCAGCTGCCCTCTCGGACCCACCGAATTCCTGTCCACCCAGGCAGTCCCTCGAGACAGCGCCCCTGCGTCCTGAGACTCCCTCGCCGCCCTTGTGGGGTCCTGGCACCGCCTTGGGGGTTTGGTGCTTAGAGCCGTGGCTGCTCGGCACAGCCCGAGCAGGCCACTCTGGGGCTGACCGCGCAGATAAATCCACAGGGCCAGACGAGAAATGTTGTGTTCCCTGCCCTTAGAAGTTTCCAGAATAATGCACCTCGTGTTGCATTTTCTACAAATATTGAATAGGTTCAGTTCTAAAGTATGCAAAGTTTTAAACATTTTTTTCCGATTCTCCCAGTTAAAATATAGTTCTTTTGTATCGCTAAATTTCCTGTGCAGTCAGTCAGTGGCCATCGAGCAATCCCGGCTGCCCCAGGGAGCCCCCTGCTCCTGGGACTCTGGGTCCGGCGCCTCCCGTGACAGGGAGGAGAGGGCTCCCGCTCAGGGCGGTGTGAGCTGCGTGGACTCTGCTCCTCCAGGGAGGAGCGTGCCGGCCTGGGCGAGTCCTGTGCCGGCCTCGTGTCCAGGGCGGAGTGCAGCCCGGGCGTCCGCAAGCTCTGGCTCGGCTGTCCAGGTGCTTCCGTCTGCTCCCGTCGGCTCTGGCCGAGTCGGGCTCAGGTCACACTTTGGAAACAGAGCCTTCATTTGCTGAGTCAGACGCAAAGCGGGAGAGACCGTCCCACCCTTAGCAGGCAAAAGGGAAAGGCGTTTCTGGTGTGTGGCAGCCCTGGACGTTTCTGGAAAGGCAGGTTGAGCCTGCCCCGTGGGGGAAGTCGCGTGAAGCCTGCCGTCCGCTGTCACGGGGAGCAGAGCTTCGCAGCCCCCTGGTGCGGCCAGGACGCCTGCCAGATGTGCAGCACTGCTGCCTGGGCGGAAGCAGCCCCTCCGCACCGTGGGTGTGTGCAGCTTGTCCCGACTTCCTCGGCCTCCTCCGCACCCGGGCCACAGCCATGGCAGGCCAGCTTGACCCCCGTCCCTGCCTCAGCTAGCACGCCATGCAGCAGCACCTGGACAGGCAGAGAAGCCTCTAGAAGGTGTCCCTGGGGCCCTTCTCGTCTGCGGCCGCTCCAGCAGCTTCTCCTTTGACCTTTCGAGTGACTCGTCGGGGTGGACAGCCATCCCTCTGCAGCCCTGCAGCTGTGGGAGATCCGGGAGCTGGCGGGCAGCTCAGGGGAATCAGGAGAGAAAGAGGCGCCACTGACAGAGGGCTGGGCCGCTCCAAAAAGCCCATGGCTTGGCTGCCACCAGCCCCCGCGTGGAGGTCAGGCCCGAGGCGGGTCCACGCTGCATGTGGCCTCCTCACACTGTATACACGCCTGTGGCATGAAGAGGGGCCAGGGCCTTGGCTGGGGCTGCCGTGGATCTCGGAGCTGGGTCCTCACGTTCTCCGTACCTGCCTCTTCCAGTTCTTCTGACCAAAACGCAGTCTGAGCCTTCCCTGAGCTGCCGAGGTACCGCAAGCCCGCGTGCTGGCTCTGGGCCGGGAGGGTGCATGGCGGGGAGGTTGGAGCCCCGGGCCTGCAGGAGTGGACCCGTGGGGTGGAACTGAGGTGCTGCTGCGGTTTGCTGGTTTGCTGGCTTGTTCAGAGGAGAAAGTGTGTGAGAATTTGCCGTGCAGCTCCAGTCGGGGGGAACTGGCAGCAAACAGGCTGGGACTTCAGGACGGGGAAGAGGCGCCAGGCCCTCCGTAGCTGGGCTTGCCTTGCTGGCCCGGGCTCACCTGCCGTGGGGCCCATCCTGCATGCTGCAGTCTTTGATTTCGGAATTTACGCTTTTCGCAGACAAGCATGCGAATGGTTAGTCCAGGCTTGGCCTCTGTCTGATCAGTTTGCCGGACTTTTCTTCTTATGTGGGTGGAGATGTGTACCAGGAGAGAGAGCCTGGGGCAGAGAAGTGCACGTCCCCACAGGTGCTGACACGCACACGTGTTCCTGTGTATACTGGGATTTTAACTTCTTGGAGTACACACATACACACACACATACACACCCCAGACGACTCATTAAAGTTGCTGTGACTCTTTGATTTTGCAGAAAGCTATGTCCATGTCTGTTGAAGTATTTCACAATAGATACTCTTTCTAGGGAAAAACCATTTAATGAAGGACAAAGTTGGCAGCCTTGGTCTGGAGCCTGGGGCTGTGACAGGTGTGGGAGACCCAGGCAGCCTCCTGTGGTTTCTCGTTGCTGCTCTGCCCCCTGGTGGTGCAGTTGGAAATCACATGGCTGGGCACTGCAAGGGACTTGTCAGACTACATTCAAACAAACAGCCGTGCCTGTGGCACTTGGCCCGCCCTCCCGCCCGGCTCTGCGTCCCTGTCCCAGCACTGTGACGGCACAGCTGGCACCTGGAGGTTCTGGCTGACGCCAGTGCGGAGTCCCCTTACTCTGCTCTCCAACCAGGCCTTCTGCAGGGTCTGCCAGGAGGCCCGGGTGGCCCATCAGCCAAGCCTCGCTTCTAAAAACAGCCTGTCTGCCCCAGGCCCCAGCCCAGGGCGGCGAGCCTGGGGCCCTGCCGCCTCCACACAGCTGCACACTGGTGCCCAGGCCACCCCTGCGCAGCCCACGCTGGGCTGAGGCAGACCTGTGTGGTGCACGAGCAGCCATCTCCCCGTCCCTGCTTAGCGAGAGGGACGACAGACGTGGGTCTGCTCCAGCGTTCTGGTCCCGTCTGTCCCCTTCGGGCTGCTGTGACGTCACCCATGTGTGGATGGCGTGTCCTCTGCCTTGTTCATCCATAGGGCACTCTCATGTCTGCCACCTCGGCACATCCGTGACTTCACGTGTCCAGGCACCAGCACTAGTTTCCATGAACACTGTGGCCTAGAAGTCAGCGTGTCGATGCCCAAGGGCCAGGTTCGCGCCGATGCAGGCCGTGTCACTGTGTCACCGTGTAGCCCTGCACCTAGTGGCTGACAGGAGATGCGTGTGCACACGTGTCTCAGGCCTGCGGCACGCTGAACCATCTTCTAGTCTGAGATGCCGTGTGCCGCGGAGCCCTTGCTCGTGTTTGCCAGCAGTGTGCGCCTTTGCTCCCGGCGGAACGGTTTGAGGACATGCGAGCTTGCTCCTGGCCGTAGTGTCCAGGCCGTGATGCTAACGCGCTGACCTGCGTGTGTTCTCTAACTCAAAAGAGGCGTATTAGCAGGTGAAGAGGTCAGCCGTGCTTGGCTTGTCTGTGTCGGGTCCCCTCCCATAGCGGAGTGTGCCACGCCCTGGGTCGTGGGTTTTCCACCGATGGCCTGCCGGCCCGGCTCTCCAGCAGGTCACACGCCTGTGGCGAAGCCAATGGTGCTGAAATCTGCCCCTCCGGTCGTCCCTGGGAGCCCCGGCAGAGAAGGATTGAATGAGTCAGTGACAGGAACCTGGGGTGGCCTCTGTGAGCAAATCCACGGACGACAGCGGTGACGCCAGAGCTGCGTGTGCCGGGGCCGCCTGCCGCAGTTAGTGCCTGCACCACAGTCTGCAGGGCAGCAGGCCGAGGCCGGCAGTTTGCCCACGCGTGTCCCAGGCAGGCCCCACGTTTTCTCGGGTGTGCTCCCTGGACCTGAGCCAGTCTTCCCTGGGTTTGCTGTGCCGCTCGGGCTGGCCACTCCCCGGGATGGGGGCAAGCTGAGGATGGTGGGTTCCTGGTGACACCACAGCCCCTGGTCCCACTCTTCCACGGGTGCCGTGGCCTTCGACTGCATGTCAGTCTTGCGCATGAGAGGGCCTTCCCTCGCTCTGAAATCCTGGTGACGGGAGCACCCAGAGGGGAGGTTGGTGACCCCGCTCGGGAGGGAGAGAAGGAGAGCAGCTGGCCCAGGCCAGGAGGGGTTGTAGTTAAAGGGAAGGCATTCTGGCCGTGGTCAGGCAGGGGAGGACAGGCGGAGCTGAGACCCAGAGGGCTGGGGAGACCTGAGGGCCAGGGAGACCCAGTGGGCACCGGGAGACCCGGGGGCCTTCCCAGCTCCCACCTGGGTGGTGCTGCGCTGTGCTGAATTCTGGCCGAGGTCAGGCAGGGGAGGACAGGCAGAGCTGAGACCCAGAAAGCCCGGGGAGACCCTGAGGGCACCAGGAGACCCGGGGGCCGTCCCAGCTCCCGCCTGGGTGGTGCCCCGCTGTGCAGAGTGGGAGCGGGGAGGCTGTGGATTTGGGCCGCCGCTGGGCGTTTTTACCTCACTCGGGAGTCTGAAGGTAGACGTCTTACTGCTGTCGCTGTCCTCACAGCTGCGCTGTCTGATCTGGCACCAGGGCTGCACGTGGCTGCCGGCCTGTCCTGAGCAGTCCCGGCGGAGCCGTGCTGGCAGCCGGAGGTGCACCCTGGACCTCGAAGCCTCAACCCCAAAGCGAGTGGAAGTGTCCTCATCAGTAACCTTCACAGGGATCAGAGCCAGGGACCAGCATTCGGCCACTGCGCTGGAAGAGGCAACGTTGCGATGAGGACGTGGTCCCTGCTGTTTGTCCTACCGGAGACTGCAGAGCTGCGTGTGTGCGCCACGCTGGTCTCTGTTAGCGAGTGTTGTCCCCGGGCTGCCTCTGGTTCATTGGCTTTGTCACTCACAGACCACGCAGGGGAAGCGCCACGTGACCCCTGAGGGGCCGCCGACCTCTCAGCGATGCCCTAAGCGAGCTGGAGGCTTTGAGAGGACCCGGGAGCCCTGGCAGGGCCATGCAGACACCTCCTTCATTCATTGAGGTTCTCTACGTGCAGCGTTCCGTCTTGTCTCCAGTGCAGGGGAATCACTTTGTTCTTTTTTCTCCCCCCAGAAACTTTTAGGAAATCATCACTTGGCAACGAAGAGGCTAATAAAGAGAAGAAAACGTTTCTGGGATTTTTCAAGGCTAGCAAAAGCAGCAGCAGTAAGGTAATAGATTGAATACGCCCTGTGCCGCACCTGTCTCGGGATGTTTCTGGATGACGAGGGTCCGGGGTCCCGGCTCCCCTGGTGGGAGGGAGTGGGCCACTGCAGCAGTCCCCTTGTCCATGGCCTCCGTCCTGAGGTTTCAGGGAGGCGGCGTCCACAGGGAGGGCAGGTGCACTGCAGGGAGACGTCTGAGAGACAGAGGCCGCGGTCACATCTCCCTGGCTGCTGTCACAGTGGCCCTGTTTCGTTGCTTGTGCTTTGTGTGACCTTACCTAACTAGAGTAAGCCCCATCGGAGGTGTTGGTGTGTAGGGCTTGCTGTGGTGGTGTCCGCTGTTCCAGGCATCCCCTGGGGTCTTGGCAAGTGTCCCCTGCGGTGAGGGGGACTGATGGTGGCTTCCACACTCGGCCACTGCCACTTCCCCAGGCCAGGGACAGAGCTGTCTCATCAGTGGGGCACAGAGCCTGTGGCTGCCTGCAGACCGAGATCCAGGGCTGCCTTCTGCCAGGGGCACGCCCAGGCCTGGCCAGGGGTGCAAACCCAAGGGTGATGGCGACCTTGTATGTGTCGCACTTGAGTTGCAGTGCAGGGGCCAGTGCCTGGGACACACGCGGCAGCGTCAGAGCGTGTTTCACGGCCAGAGCCCGGGGAGACGGGCGGCCAGCAAGGACCCAGCCCCTCGCTACTGCCCTTCAGATGCTTTGTTGCCCCAACAGCATCTGGGAACGGACTGTCTCAAGTTCATTGATCTTCTTGGTCTTCATGAAATAATTCTTTAAGCGCATGTTTTGGATGCACTGCAATAATTTAAAGTTGTAATATAAAGAATAGGAATGAATATCTTAGTACTTAGACGTGAGACCCTCAGAACTGTAAGCACCTTCAAACTACCAAGACCAGACAGTGCCTCTCCCCTCCGAGCCTGGTGAGCAGGTGGATTCTGTTGTAATTGGTATTTTTTCCTTCTTGGTAAACGAGACCCAAAGTGACAAAGCTGTCCCACGATGTCGGGCTTCAGAGCCCCAGGCTCACGTGGTTGTAGGCGTGGTCTCAAGGCTTGAGGCGCCTGGCTCACGCTCACATGGGGACCTGTTGTGATCTCATTTCCTGGACCTGGAGTCAGCCCCGGCTTGCAGATGGACACACTGGCACTCAGAGAAATGAGTCACTTGCCCGGCGTCCAGGCATCAGAACCAGGGCCCCAGGACGGTGGTGCCCTGGGGTCCAGTGCGGCTTGCCTCGGGAGAGTGGCACAAACCTCAGCTCGTTTCTCGTCCACTGCTCCGGAGCTTTGGGGATGACTGTGATCGCCCCGGTCTGCACTGACCCTGTGTGCTTGGGAAGTCCGGGCAGGACACGGGCCTCTCGGCGCCGGCTTCTGAGTTGGTGCCGCCCCCTCTGCCCCTCTCCCACCTCCTTTCCCCTCCTGCCGGGATTACTTGGAATTACGGGATCAGAATTGTGTGTGGCCCTCCGTCTCCCGGGGAAGGGGCCTTGCTGTCGCTGAGCTTTGTGAACAGACTTCGCCGGAGCTGCGCTCCGGCCGGCCTCCCCGCCGGCACAGGTCACGGTGAGTGCCTCACAGCTCGCGCCGGCTTCTGGCACAGAGGGTGCAGTCAGCAGAGCTGTGGCAAACCGACTCGTGCCTGAGTTTTAAACAAATTAAGGTGGCCTCAGGGGCGGAATGTGAAGGCTCTGGGACTTGGCTGCACTGGTGCAGGGGCCCGGGCCGGGGGACACCAGGCGCCCAGTCGGTGGGAACGCCTCGTTATGGGCATGTGTTTCCGGGGTTTTCACCTTCCGAGTTCTTGCCCCCACAGAGATGAGAGTTCAAAGCAGAGGCCCTGATGGAGCAAGGGCAAAAACTTTAGGTCCACGCTGACCTCTCCCCTGCACCCAGCATGCAGGCCTCCGTTTCTCCGCCTGCTGACACAGCCCCCCCTGCCTGCACTGCTGGACACGCCACTGGCGGAGGAGTCCAGCCGTCAGCTCCTCCCAAGCTCTCTCCCCCTTCCCAGCTCAGCAGCTCGGCCCCAGGGTCCAGCCCCTCCCAGCCCCTCCCAGCTCACCCTGTGACCTCCCAGGACCTTGTGATCCAGCCCAAGCCCCACCTCCATCTCACAGCCCAGCTTCAGCTCAGACCCCCAGGCCCCTTCCCGCCACATGGTACTATAAGAACCGCTAGTCTGTGAGGGAGGGGCTCGCTCTCTGCTGCGCCTGCACCTGGGACGGAGCCCCCCCAGGCTTCACTCTTCTGAGTAGACCTGGCCTGGCTGCAGCTCCGTGCTCTGTCTCTTCTTTCCTGACAGGCACAAGTAGGGAGGGGAGCAGGATTGAGAGAGAGAGAGAGAGAGAGGGAGGGAGGGAATAGGTTCTGCGAGGGGACAGAGTGTGGGAGGAGGCCAGAGAGTGAAGGCCACAGGACAAAAGCAGCCCCCGCGCGCGTAGTCCCCCTCATGGGTGGGGCTGGGACCCGGCCGCACGTGTGAGTCAGGTGGGGCTGGGTCAGAGAACCTTGCATCAGGTTTCCAGGCAGTTCCATGGCTCCTCCATGTGTTCATCATGGTGTCTCCTCCTCCCTGCCCCAGACGAGTCACAGGCGCACCCGGGCTCGTGGGATAGCGTGGCAGGGAGGGCTGCTCCGCCTGCCTCCCGGCCTGCGAGGTGTGGCCTGCCCGCCTGTCCTCGCCTGCCCTTCCCTGTCTAGAGCTCGCAGAGCCAGCCGCCTCTAACTCACCTGTTGTGTATCTTACTCTGCTCTGGGTGCCCTGCCCCAGCCCATCCCCGCTGGTTCTCGGTAGCTGTCCGGCACTGGATCCGTACCCCTCTCCCCGCCATGGCAGCGTCAGGCGCCTCCTGGCAGCTACCGAGGCCTGGTGGGGGTGGCGCTCCCGGCTCATGTCCCAGGGCCAGCGTGGCAGCTCCTTGCCAGCCTCTGTGCTGGGAGACGCCAGGTCCCCAGCTGGGCCAGGCTCTCCCAAGGCCCTGCTGTCAGTCACTCATTTACACGGCGCAGTGTCTGACAAGTGTGAGCTTCAGTCTCTTCCTCAACAAAGGCCTTTGGAGTGGAGGGTTCTTCAGGAGATTTCTAAAATCCCGGAGTGCTGGCCGCCCGCAGAGGCCCGTGAGCAGCCAGAGTGCGCATGGAGAATTCTCGTGGCGTCTAAAGCAGCACGGCTCTACTGCATTCCAGAGAAGAAAAAGCTGTGTGTGTGTGTGTGTGTGTGAGTGTGCATGCGTGTGTGAGGGTGAGAGCCTGTGCATGTGTGTGTGTGTGTGCGAGTGTATGTACATGCATGTGTGTGAGCCTGTGTGCACGTGTGAATGTGGATACGTGTGTGAATGTGTGTGTGCGTGAGCGAGTGTGTGCATGCATGTGCCTGCGTTTGCTGCCAGACTCCTGGGTCCTCCGTGATTCTCATCTCTGGGGCTAGGTTGGGGCCTGGGAATTGAACCCAAATCACACCAGGTCATTCTCCAGTTGGTGGTGTATTACCATTTTCTGTTTGGGGATCTGGTGTGAGATTGTGGGTGAGTCATTTCTGTGTACCCAGTCCTTTAGCTGTGCCGAGCTGAAGCCATGGAAACCTTCACACCTGGTCAGTTCATTGGTTTGCTGAGCTAAGGCCCACGACTGTGAAAATCGGGTGCGTTCTAAGCTGAGGAGCTGCTTTTGGGCAGAAGAAAGAAAACTCCTTTCCATGAGTGTGGATTTCAGCAGTGTTCTTCACATCGGAGAGCACTGGCCGGGGGCTGTTCCAGAACAGCCTTTGAGCTCCTCAACTGAGGGGAGGGGCCTGGGTGCACCCCTGAGCCCGGTCCTCCACCTGGAGGGGCCCAGCTGCACCCCTGAGCCGGGTCCTCCACCTGGAGGGGCCCAGCTGCACCCCTGAGCCGGGTCCTCCGCCTGGAAGGGCCCGGGTGCACCCCTGAGCCGGGTCCTCCGCCTGGAGGGGCCCGGGTGCACCCCTGAGCCGGGTCCTCCGCCTGGAGGGGCCCGGGTGCACCCCTGAGCCGGGTCCTCCGCCTGGAGGGGCCCGGGTGCACCCCTGAGCTGGGTCCTCCGCCTGGAGGGGCCCGGGTGCACCCCTGAGCCGGGTCCTCCGCCTGGAGGGGCCCGGGTGCACCCCTGAGCCGGGTCCTCCGCCTGGAGGGGCCCGGGTGCACCCCTGAGCCGGGTCCTCCGCCTGGAGGGGCCCGGGTGCACCCCTGAGCCGGGTCCTCCGCCTGGAGGGGCCCGGGTGCACCCCTGAGCCGGGTCCTCCGCCTGGAGGGGCCCGGGTGCACCCCTGAGCCGGGTCCTCCGCCTGGAGGGGCCCGGGTGCACCCCTGAGCCGGGTCCTCCGCCTGGAGGGGTCCGGGTGCACCCCTGAGCCAGGTCCTCTGCCTGGAGGGGCCGGGCAGCACCTCTGAGCCAGGCCCTGTGCTGGGGGCCCACCCTGGCCTGCTCAGCCTGGATGGGTGCCTGGGTGGCGTTCTCCTGGGAAGTCATTTTCAGTGGGGTTGACGGGCGGGTGTGTGCTTGTGTTCCAGGCCGAGCAGCCCGGGCTGTCAGGTGTGGACAGTGAGGAGGACACCTTGAAGCCAGCGCCAGGAAGGGGCTTGAACGTGAGTACTAACAGCCAGCGGCCGCTCCTGCTAATGGGCGGGCTTCTCACTGCTTCGCGCCGCCGTCCACACAGGGGATGAGATGCCGAGCTGCTTTCGGCCGTGCGTTTCCGCTGCCAGGCCACCTTGACAGTGCGGAATGCTTCGTTTTCTCTCCTCTCCGTGCCACTCGGGGTGAGGGAGAGGGGACTTCTCGCTGGGTTTCTTGGATTTGCACTCCGCAGTTTCCTCCGCAGGGCGCAGGGGGACCTGGTGGTTGGAGCCGCACAGCCCTGGTGTCCAGCCCTGGGCCCCCAGGCGCTGAGCTGTGTGACTGCACTTTGCTCGGGGAACCCCGAGAGGATGCTGTGAGACAGCCCTGGCCCTCACGTGGCCTTCAGTCCTTGAGAGGGTGTCGTGGCCGGCGCCTTGTTAGCAGTGGCGTCTGAAGTTGGGCCCCGGGGTCGCCTGCGCAGAGCCTTTCACAGCAGAAGGAACTTTGCGTTATTTAGTTATCTCCTTCCTCGTTGCACGTTTCCACGCCAGCCCCCGCGAACGGTTTATTTCTATTCAGCCCGAGAGTCTTTCATGAAGTCTTGAAATGTGGTATAAAATGACAATCTCTTTCCAAGTTAGATTTTTTAAATTTAATGTGATCCAAAAGCTGTCAGAAGGAAAATATTCTAGGCTAGGTTCTTATTGCAATTACAATATAAGTGAAGACAGTGTAAATGTAGACAGTGTTGGTAAATTCTTTGTTAAACAGAGAAAAGTTACTTTTTCCTCGAAAAGACATTTCCTTTAACAAAAAATAAAAGATTTGTGTGTCTGAGAGAGAGAGAGAGTATGAATCTTCCACCTTTTGATTCACTCCCAAATGGCTGTGACAGCCAAGATTTGTGTGTCTGAGAGAGAGAGAGAGTATGAATCTTCCACCTTTTGATTCACTCCCAAATGGCTGTGACAGCCAGCCAGAGCTGGGCCAGGCTGAAGCCAGGAGCCTGGAACTTTATCCAGGTCTCCCACGTGGGCGGCAGGAGCCCAGGCGCTTGAGCCGTCCCCCGCTGCTTTCCCAGCCCATTAGCAGGGAGCTGGCTCAGAAGCAGAGCAGCCGGGACTGAAATTGGAGCTCCATAGGGATGCCAGCATTGCAGGCGGCAGCTTCACCTGCTGTGCCACAGCACCAGCCCCGAAAGACATTTCTTAATAAAACGAAAGCTGCTTATTTTTTGCTTATTCCTTGTATCCATTGATCACCACGACTTACTGATAAAACCAGAACAGGTTCAGCCTGGCTCTGTGCTCTGGCCATTTTTACTCCTGTAAGCCCCAGGGGCATCCTGACGGAAGTGGCTTGTGAGGACGGAGAAGTTGTTTCAGTTGACGTCTGTCGCAGTGACCTGTGATTCAACCAGTTATCTTGAATGATCTTTTATCTGTGAGTGATTAGGTTATTTTTCAGATTTGTCACTAGTAAGATTTTTTTGAATTTCTAATTTTTTATTTAAAAATTAGATGTAAAAATTATGCCTATTTCTGGGTACCGTATGATGTTTTTTTGCTTGTGTGCATTCTATAATGTTCACTTAGGTACATGTATTTATTCTTTCAGGCATTTAGCATTTCTCTGTACTGAAAGCATCCAGTGTTCTGGCTTCCAGGCTCTCAAAGTAGAGCAGTGCACAGTGCAGTCACATCTGCAGCTGCCCTCTGTGCAGCACAACCCCAGAGCTTCCTGCCAGCGCTGGTGGCCTGGCACCTGCCAGTCAGCCTTGCCCCACCCCTCACTCCCCTCTCAGCTCTGGTAGCCAGCATTGCACTTTCGGCTTCTGTGAGCACCTGTTTCCTCGAGTCCTCCTGTGAGTGAGCTCGTACGTTGCTTGTCTCTCTCTGAACACGGTGACTGCCAGTTCCGTCGTGTTGTTGCGGATGGAGAGATTCCGTCTGTTTATGGCTGAGGGATGCTCCCTTGCCTACGGGTACCACGTTTGCTTGATCCCTTCCTGCAGCAGGGTTGGAAGCCTTCTGGGATGTTCCATCATGGTTGTCAAACCCACTGCTCTTTTGGTCACTGCCACTTTAAAATCCTTATGTATCATCCTTAAAGCTCCAGGGAATTGTGATATTGTTAGTTTTCACTAACTTTTGCCAATAGTTTCTTTACATTTTTGTTTATTTTCTATTTATTTGAAAAGAAGAGGCAGTGAAAGAAATAGAGGCAGACAGAGATGTTCCATCTGCTGGTTCACTCCCCGAATGCCCCCAGCAGTCACTGCTGGACCAGGCCCAAGCCAGGAGTCTGGAACTCCACCCACGCCCCCGGGCTTTGTCAGGGACTCAAGTACGTGAGCCGCGGCCTGCTGCCTCCCAGGGAACTCGCGCAGGACGGTGGCTGTGGGCTGGGGCCCAGCTCCTGTGCCAACCTCCTGCCACATGGTGCAGTTGTTTACCCCAGCTGTTTTCATCTTACCCAAACTTTAAATCTGTTTTCGTTAGCATCTTGTGACTTTGTGTTAAGAGCCTGGGTTAATGAGATTGAGCTCATTCCATTTACGGAAAAGTATCTGACACATAAACCATGGGTAGAATGAGCCCTATTGTTTGACTAAGAAATTCAAATCAAACCTACTTTGGTTTCAAGACAGCCTAGTTGTTTGTTTCAGTTAAATCAATACTGCATGCCCATGGCAATGGCCGGGCTCTCGAGCCAAACAGCAACTCCTGAGCTATTGCCGGCTCCAGCACTTTGAGAACGTGAACTTGGTGCCCCCATTGGTGGCCATGTTTTAAAGCTCTGTGATAATCAGATCCCAGCCTCTGTCACACTCAAATCTCGGAGGGAAATAAGAACGTTTCTGAGTTGAAGGATTTGAGGCGAGCGGGACTGGGGTGCCCTGTGCCCGTGTGCTGAGCCCGTCCTGTACACGATCAGCCTGAATAAAGTCCAAGTGCCTGCCCTAGTCACGCGAGCAGCCCTGTTTTCTGGGAGAAGCAGACTGGACCCCCGAGGGTGACCGGAGCGTCCACTGACCCTTCGCTCTGTGAAGTTTGTCGTCAGCCTTCACGCTGGCCCGGGCCCCGGAAGTGGCTCTGGTGTTTCTTGCACTCGACAGTCTACACTGGTGTTTGAGCAGGGGGTCTGTTTAATTACACGCTGACAGCCGGTACCTTTTTGGCTATTACAATGCACAACTGGATATTTTAGCTTTCTCTACAGCAGCAAATGGTAGTGTACATTTTGCTGGGAGCAATGCTAATTTGTGGGAGGTCGTTTTTCCCTGCTAATGTGACAGAACACATTCAACGTCATAAATTCATGGGTGATAGAAAAACAGATCTTAGGCAGCAAAAAGCCTTCATAGGAAGCATCCAAAGCATTTATGAGGGAAATGAGGAAATCCTGTAGATACACATGGAAGTAGGATTGTACAAACAGAAAGACACCACATTCCTAGATAAGAAGACTCAACGCCGTTGTTTGTATCACGCTATGTTTTAGAGTTAAGATAAAGTTTACTTAGAAAAATAAACAGATAAGAAAAGCCAGGAAATCCTGAAACACATGAGAAGGGGATAAGCCTGCTGGTTTATGAAATGGATTTCGAAGCCTTTGCAATTGACATTAAGCAGAATAGGAAATCCGGGGCCAATTGCACGTTGTCAGCGCCTGCAGTCCGTGGAAGGAGATGAGCAGGAGTGAGAGGAGCCGGGGCCCTTGGTATCCCTTAGGAGAGACTGAATCGTGTTGATTGTGACCGTGTGCACTGGGAAAAGCAGAGTGGACCGGAAGCCCAGGTGCACCAGTGGAAGCCACATGAGCACCAGCTCCCGTCAGCCGGGAGCGAGGGCGCTGGTTTCCCATGACTCAGAATCCAGTGTGAGACCAGAGCAGGTAGATCGGACCTCAGGGAAAACAAGTGGAACCCTCTCGGATCAGGAGGGAGGGAGGAGGAGATGGGGGGTGTCACAGGCAAAGTAGAAGTCCGAGAACCTGGGGCTCAGAGGAGGAGGGACGACCTGCCCCTGACAGGCGTGAACGAGGGGTGCTGGAGACGAGATGTGCAAACGACACAAAAACAAGAGAAGATGCAGACTTGGTCCTGATGCAAGTGTGATTGACACCTGCAGTGACCGCCCGTTTATCCGGCGGACCCCAGCGTCTGTTACTGGCCGTTCTTGGCAGCCGTCAGCCCCGAGGTAGCTGCCGAGCGCCATGCAAGGTGCTGTGGCCTTTGTGGTGGGGACATGGCAATGCGTACGTCTTGGAGTCCTGCGTCCACTCACTCTCTGGGCCAGAAGCCCAGCGTGTGGAAATCTAGACGGCTCACGTGCAGGGCTGTTCATGGCAGCGTTCTCTACGAGAGTAGCACGTGGAGGCAGCCACATGCCCATTGTGGGTGTGGCCTGGGAGGCTGCGGCTGGGCTCTGGAGGGGAGGGACCGGCACCCTTACCTGCTTGCCAGAACCTTCTACGTGAGCTTTTCTGCTTTAGCGAGACTGCTGCTGTAAGTCACAGTCAGCCCCTGGAGCGGCGACGGCCTAGGTGAATGGCTGGCCCGGGAGCAGCAGAGTGCTGGGTGGGAGGCCTCCGCGCCGTGCTGGGCCTGGTGCTGCTCACGTCTGCACGTGCACACGTGTGGGGTTCCGGTGAGCGCCCCGGCAGCTGGCATCCTCTCTCAGGCTGGACGCGACCCTCCTGGCAAGCATGGTGTCCTGTTGCTTACCCTCCCCTTGCTGTTTTGCTAAACTTGCCCCCAGCTGTTGGCATCTGCAGACTCTGATGCCGGAGTATCCTTGGTGTTCTGGGGAGGTGGGACCTGGGGGTCCACAGGCCCCAGGGGTGCCCAGTGGTGAGGCTTTAGCAGCTGGCGCTGCGTGGGCTGGGGGCTTCCTCTGGAGCACATCCTGTGATCAAATGGAACCAGCTCCACCCCTCGCACCTTTCTTGGCCCCTTGGCTCTCCTGCAGCCCTGGTGCCTTTGGCTGGAAGCAGTAAAGGCGGTGACTGTTCACTGCTCCCC